CTTTTATCATTCCAGTTGCCCTTTTCTGCACTTTTCCCAAAGCTATAATATCCTTTTTAAGGTGTGGTGACCAGAACTGCACACAATATTCCAAATGAGGTCGCACCATTGATTTATATAGGGGCATTATGATATTGGCTGATCTGTTTTCAATACCCTTCCTAATAATCCCCAGCATAGCATTGGCCTTTTTTTATTGCAGTCACACACTGTCTCGACATTTTCAGTGAGTTATCTACTACAACTCCAAGATCTCTCTCTTGATCAGTCTCTGCCAGTTCAGACCCCATCAATGTGTAGTTATATTTAGGATTTTTGGCTCCAATGTGCATCACCTTGCAGTTGGCCACACTGAATCCCATTTGCCATGTTGACGCCCACTTGCCCATCCTTGACAGATCCCTTCGGAGTGCCTCACAATCCTCCCTGGTTTTCACCACCCTCAACAACTTCGTATCATCCGCAAATTTAGCCACTTCACTGCTTACTCCCAACTCCAAATCATTAATGAACAAGTTAAAAAGCACTGGACCAAGTACTGATCCCTGCAGTACCCCACTGCTTACCACCCTCCACTGAGAAAATTGCCCATTTATACTCACTCTTTGTTTTCTATTAATTAGCCAGTTTTTGATCCATAAAAGGACTTTTATCCCATGATTTTTGAGCTTACTGGGTAGGGCGGGATAGAAATCTCAAAAAAATAAAAAATTACTTAGGAGCTTTGATTAGGAACTTTATCAAAAGCTTTCTGGAAGTCAAGGTAAACAATATCTATTGGATCCCCCTCGTCCACACATTACAGATCCTTGTACTGTGGTAGCAGCTGCTGCCAAAGCAAAACACTTGTGGACAGCAAAAAATCTCCCCCAAAAAGAAGTTTATAAGCCAGGAAAATGAGAACACAGAAAATCCCACTGAAAGTGGTTTAGATGGATGGCAAAACAGAGCAACTGCCTGTGCTGAGGTCAAACGCTAATGCCAAAGTAGGCATCCTTCAAACTGAGGACCACAGATCTGATGGATTTTTCTAGCATGGTGAGGATATTTATCATTGTTACCATAAAAAAATCTTTAGAAGGATGAAAATATTCACATTCCAAAGATCTAGAATGTGCTACAGTCTTTCTTCAGGATTGTGACATCGCTAGGAATCAAAATACTTTCTCCTCCTTTTCTTGCCAATCTGTTTGACTCCAAGTTGCTCAGATATCTGTACCGTTCAGTGGAAATTAGAGAAGAGTGGATGACTAATGGAGGCAGACTGCAAACTGGCTCCATGAGTGGAAGGAACAGGTGACGCCACCATTGATCTCCATGGGACCGATGCTGACCAAGGTCGAAGGGACAGGCTGAGCCGTAGACTTGAGCGGTGCCGTTCCCTAGGCACAGAGGCAAGACATATGGCTTCTGCGGGCCCACTGAGTACAGAATGTAGGCATGGTTTGATTGTCTGCCTTGCCGAGGCAAGGGTCCTCTGCCTCAGAGATGGGGAGGTTATTCCTGTAAGTGCAGCTGTGTTTTAAAAACTCTTGCTGGGATGTAATTGGAAAGCCAAAATGGAGAAAGACATTGAAATAGATAAAGCATGGGCAA